ACCCCCGCCCGCACTGGGAGCAGTCGTAGGGTCTTTCGCCCGTGTGGGTCCGCCAGTGCTGCACCAGCCCCGAGCTGTACGTGAAGCTCTTGTGACACTCGGAGCACTTGTAGGGCCTCTCGCCGGTGTGACTTTGAAAATGCTGCATCAGCTCTGGTCGGCTCTTGAAGCTTTTGTCGCACTCGGAACACTTGTAGGGCCTCTCCCCCGAATGCACGCGGTGATGGATGGTCAACGTCGATCTCTGCCTGAAGCCCTTCCCACACTCCTCGCACCGGTAAGGTCGTTCATCCGTGTGCGCCTTCTGATGTTGGCGGAGGGTGGCGCAGTCGTGATAGCTCTTCCCGCAGTCGGGACACTGGAAGGGTTTCTCACCGGTGTGGATGCGTTGGTGGGCGGTCAGGAGGGAGGGACGGTTGAAGCGGCGGCCGCAATCCTGTGGTGGGAGGAAGGATGGGGACGTGGTGGGAGGAAGGATGGGGACGTGGTGGGAGGAAGGATGGGGACGTGGTGGGAGGAAGGATGGGGACGTGGTGGGAGGAAGGATGGGGACGTGGTGGGAGGAAGGATGGGGACGTGGTGGGAGGAAGGATGGGGACGTGGTGGGAGGAAGGATGGGGACGTGGTGGGAGGAAGGATGGGGACGTGGTGGGAGGAAGGATGGGGACGTGGTGGGAGGAAGGATGGGGACGTGGTGGGAGGAAGGATGGGGACGTGGTGGGAGGAAGGATGGGGACGTGGTGGGAGGAAGGATGGGGACGTGGTGGGAGGAAGGATGGGGACGTGGTGGGAGGAAGGATGGGGACGTGGTGGGAGGAAGGATGGGGACGTGGTGGGAGGAAGGATGGGGACGTGGTGGGAGGAAGGATGGGGACGTGGTGGGAGGAAGGATGGGGACGTGGTGGGAGGAAGGATGGGGACGTGGTGGGAGGAAGGATGGGGACGTGGTGGGAGGAAGGATGGGGACGTGGTGGGAGAAGATTTGGGGAGACAGTGGGAGAATGGACATTGTCACAGTGGCAGAAGGTTTGGGGACACAGTGGGAGAAGGTTTGGGGATGGGGACACAACACAAGACCCTACTTAGGGACAAAACACCCCCACCACCACGTGTCCCCACACCCCTGTCCCCACCAAAACCACTTCCCACCCACCATCCAACCCCCCAGTTTATCCCCACAGCCCCGCGGCCTCTCACCCGGCGGCACCGCGCTGTCCCCGTTCCTCTCCGCGCTGTCCCCCCCGCCGCCGGCTGTGGGGAGCGGGACGAGAGGCGCAGCATCCTCCTCCTCCATGGCCGTCACCTCCGTGGGGACAACCCTAAATGGGGACAAGCCCAAAAGCCATCACCCCACTTTTCTCCGGGGTTGGGGTTTTGCCTAA